GCGGATCTGGGGCGCCGGCGGGGGGGAAAGGGGGAAAGGCGTGGGTCGGGGGGAGCGTACAGAGCGGGGAGGCCCAGAGGGAGCCTCACGCGGGAAACTGGGGGCGCACCCTCCGGTCGGAGGAGGCTTTGAGGGCGCTCGAGGGGCACTCACGTGCAGGACGTTGCGGCGGCTGGACAAGTGTCGGCCGTGGGCCAGGGCCGCCCCGCGAAGGTCCACGCTGCTCTCGGGTCGGCTGCCCGCTGGCCCCTGGGAATCAGGGGAGAAACTGAGGCCGCGGTGCGGTCTCCCTCGCTGTCTCCCTCTCCCCGGGTGGACCGCCTGGACGTGGCAGGTGGCGCCGCTTCCTAATGCCTTCCCTCCCTCCCCGCCCCCGCCCCGCGGGCACCGGCCCTGCCCTCCCGCACTCACCCAGACTGCAGAGGAGGGTGCCGCCCGGGGGGGCTCCCGGTAGAACATCAGGCTGTTCCCCGCTAACACCACCCACGATGGGCACCAGTTCTTCCTGCGGGGGCAGAGGGGCAGGAGCCGGGCAGAGGCCATTTGGAATCAGAGGGGAGGGCGCTCTCCCCGCGCTGCTCCACCCAACGCGCTGCTCCACCCCACGCGCGGAGTCCGACAGCCGCGCCCCTGCGTGTCCGCCGCTCTCCTCACCTGAGCTTGCGTCCCCCCTGAGCAATCTTAGTCACGTTGAGCTGGCCCGACTTTTCCACCTCCTGGGACATGGAGGGGGGAGGGGGGAGGGTACCAGTAAGTCACCCAGAGCCCCTTGCAGAACCTCGGCTTCAAGTCTCGAGGGGGGCTGGGTGAGGGAGGCTACCCAGAGAACAGTCAGAAAGAGGAAGACGTTTCGGAGGAGCGGGAATTGGGGGGTGGGGCTGGGAGGATCTTGCATGCACACGAAAAGGGGAAACTTACGTGAGGGTCGTCCAGGACCTGCGGCAGAGGCCGCAGGGGCTGCCGGGCTGCAGGCTGGTCTGCGGGGTTGAGCTGGGAGGTGCGGCGGGGGAGGCAGGGTGAACCCTGGGGTGGGGGGTTGGAGAAAAACAGGTGGAGCAAACGCTAGCTTGGAGGTCCCTAGCTGCGGAGGAAGAGGAGTGCGGGTGTGGGTGGCCGGAGAGCGAGAAAGAAGAATGTCTTGCATAAAAGAGAAAATGGTGAAAAGATGGCTTTTCCTGCGGGTAAACTGGAGGAGGAAGGGGTCTCACCTGGGGGTTGAGCAGTTCTGGGGACCCCGTGTCTGAGTCTGAGCCCTTTGCCTGAGGTTGCAGGACACCGTTGTCCCTATTCAGGGTCTGTGTTCCCTCCATGGAGCCAGGGTTCTGGGGCGGGGAGGGGGGGAGACGAGGTAAAGCTACGGCCAGATGCCACCCTCAACCCGCTCAACACCCTTCTCACAATTTTCTGATTCTCTTGGACTTCTGCGAGCCCCAGGAAGCAAACACACTACTTTGGAACACAGTGGGGAGAGGAGGGGATTGAACGGACAAAGAGATGAGCCGGAGGGAAGGTCTCACCGTCTCTTGGGTTCGGGTGCGGCGTGGAGGCTTCCAGGACTTGCAGCCAGTCAGCGAGTTTCTGTAGAAGCAGCGTCCGGAGTTGGGGTCCAGGTGCTGCTCCCAGGCGTCCAGCCTCTGCAGCGGGGCACACGCAGGGCTTGGGGGTGGGGACTGGAGACAGCGGCGAAGGTCCACTAAGTTACAGTACACAGGGGGCTCTGACATGGGGAGCTGGGGTCCAGCCTGCCAGGAAAGGGGGGAGAAAGGGGTAGGTATTCTCCCCAAACGTCTCTCCACCTAACTACCTCCCACTCGCCCCCACCATTTTCTCACCACCAGATCCTGGCCGGGGTTACCCAGGTACTGAGGGAGAAACCTGGTCCCCGGCTGTGTGTTTTTTTTTTTTCTTTTTCTCCCTCCCTCACAGTCTTCTATGCTCTTCTCCTCACTTCCTGTTGCCAACTTCCCTCCTCCCCCACCCCACCCCCAGCCCAGGGCCGCAGGAAAGGGGAACAGGCGTGTGTGTGTTGGGGGGGGGGGGTTGAGGGGAGCTCCCCACCCTCACATCCTCCCAAGTAAAAGGAGACTGAGAGGAGGGGGTATGAGAAAGGAGGGGCCACTTTTCAACCACTAGTAACTACGAGAGGGGAGTGGCTGAGTCTTGAGGAAGAGCAAAGGAGTTCCATCTCTAGAGGTGACAAGACCTGACACAGGACAAACCCTGCCTTGGGCCAGGAGTAGGAGGAAGAGAGAGAAAGCACCGCTGAGGTTGGCTTTCTCTCAGTCCCTCTATCATCTGCCAGGTTCCATGTACCCTCCCGATCTTTGCTTCTTGCTGTCCTGTCCCTCAGCTAGAATTCTTTCTCATCTCCTCGTTTGCATCCAGGCTGTCTCTGACTTCTCCTTATTCAGATTCAACTAAACATCATCTACTCAGAGATGCCTTCCTAGGCCAGGTCAGGCCCTCTCCACCATATTTATCTTCCCGGAAGCACTTATTAGGACCAACACATATTTGTTTATGACAGTTGTCAGTCACGGGAACCCTTGAAAGCTGAGTCTGTCCTGTTAGCCACTGTGCCTAGAACAGGGCTCAGCAATAAATATCTGTTGATCGCAGCTGCTCAGATGGAGAGCTGTGACTCACCACATTGGCATTGGCCTCTGTCAGCAAGTCCTCCCGGGAGAGAGATCTTCCACTTGGCCCACCCTGGGAGGGCTTCAGGAGAGTGGGCCTCAGATTGGTAACACTGACACTTCTGTAGATTTTGGGGGGAAGAGAAGGAGGCTGCTGCGAAGTAGACTGGGCTCTGCCTGCGGTTGCCTGGGATGGGGGCAGCGCCTCCAGTGAGCCAGGAAACAACTCCGGCCCTGGAAACAGAAACGGGGAGAGCAGGGGGCAGGTGATCAGAGGCCTGATCTTGGCTGGGGGTTCACAGGGAAGACAAGAGCAGGGAGAGGCTGTTGTTGAAAAATAAAATGAGATCCTGAAGACTTGAGACTAGGAAGAGAGGCCATGGGGGCACCCTGGTGGGTATAAGGAGTAGGCTGGTCACAGGAAAACAAGAGAAGGGGATCAGCAGAAACTTGGAGGAGGAGGACCCTTCCAATAATTCCCAGAAGCCAGGGAGGTAAGAAAGTGATGGGAAGGGTTTACTCACCATGAGTCCAGCGGGATTGCCTGGTGGCGGTGGTGGTTGGGCTCTGGGAACAGATAGACTCCTCTGTCATGTAGGCAGCTGGTACGAAGATGGGTCGTGAGGTGGATGGTGCTCCCAGGCGCCTTGCCAACCACCAGTCAGAGTTGGTCTTTCGAATCAGTAGGAACCTGTCCCCTTCAGCCATAGATACCTGCCGGCCATCTGCCGCAGTGTAAGTGAAGGCATATAGGGCACAGAGCTGGGGTCCCTGAGAAGTGTTTTTGGGCCCCAGGCCTAGGTTCCCCCAAGTACTTGGCCACCACTGGCCCGACAGCATTGTGGCCAGTCCTGTCACCTGTGGGAAAAAGGGGTGTTGGATATCCAGAAAGGGTCAGAACTGGCTACTTCTAGGCAGAGCAACATGGTTCTAAGAGCAGAGTCAGAGGAAAACAAGCACAGGAATCCTGGAGTGAGAGAAGAGGGTAAAGCAAAGGGCCTGAGTGGGGGTCAATGACAGGTCTTGGGGGCTGAGAACTCCGGAGTGATGTGACTGGTGAGGAAGTATATAAGTAAGGTGACAGAGGATGTGGTCAGCAGGGCTGTGAGGCCAGCAAGGCAGGAAATCAGACATGGCCTACCTCAGTGATTTTCCTCCAAGTACCTTCTGGGGCCCATCAGAAGATCCAGGGGCAAAAGAAGTTGGTTCTGGACAGTGGTGGGACTCTTGAGTTGGACACGGGAAGATGAGAAAAAAAGAATCAGGTCTGAGACAGAACACAGATAAAGAGAAAGCAGTTAATGACAAAAATAAAAAAGTTTGTGACCCTTTATTAAATGTACACAGGCACCAATGTTTCCATTACTGATCACCTCAGATCTAAAGCTTCATGCTTCCTGTGTGGAGTCAGAGAGACATAGAAACAGAGAAACAGAGAGCCAAATTGGAGAGAACAAGAAAGTGGGTGGGAGAAACACAGAGGGGTTCAGTTAGACATAGTGGTGAAAACGCCACCATCCTCCCAATCCAGGACATGTTTTGGGGAGCTGGGAAGCCTCTGTACTTAAGCCTCTTGGGTGGGGCCCTACTTTAGTGTGTGGGCTCATTCATTCATACTCTTAGCAAGGATTGGCTGAGCACCTCCTGTGTGAAAGGAACAATGTTAGGCACTGGGGATCAGATGCAGGGAGGAGATAGACACAGCCCTTGCCCTCTTAGAGCTTAAAAACAGATCTCCACTAACCACACAACACATTTATTAATTAACAAGGGAATCGGGGTCTATGGACAGCTAGCACAGGATGCTATGACAGCATGTTGGGGTGAATGGGAGACTGATGTCAGCTTTTCCCTGGAAGGTGGAAACTGACCTCCCCTGTCCATTGCCAGAGCTTCAGAACCCACACCTGTGCTTCCTCCTTACCTGACCTCCTCTTTCCCTTTCTGTTTCTCCACTGCACAAGGTGAAGCTTTCTGTGAGGCTTTTTGTCTGGCTGTGGAGAGGTGGGGTGGAGGTGAGGTACCTCCCCCTTGGTGACATCAGACAGACAGCTCTCCTCCTCTGACGTGTGATCTGAGGGCTGTGTTACCAGTACTGAGTGCTGGGTGACATTCCTCCTTAGTTTGCTCCACTTTCAAAATGTGCAGAATCCCACCCTTCAGCTCTTCCTTCCCACTCCCAAAATAGTGACTGCAGTTCTTCCTGCCTCTCCCAGGCCTCACACTGGGGTTCAAGCCCACAATCAGTGAACTCCTGGTTCACAGGTTGATGATCAACCACTGAGCCACGCCGGCCAGACCCTCATCAGCTTTTAAATGTAGCCAAGTATTCCCCATCTTTAAATAAACCTCCCTTGACTGTGCTCTCTGGTTGCCACTGTACTTCTTCATATATATGTTTGTATTGATTTCAAAGAGGGAGAGGAAGAGAGAGAGAAACATCAATGATGAGAGAGAACCATTGATTGGCTGCCTCCTGCCCCCCCCCCCCACACACACACACACTGGGGATTGAGCCGGAAAGCCAGGCATGTGTCTCTGGACCAGAATCAAACTGGGGACTCTTCAGTCCACAGGCCAATGCTCTATCCACTGAGCCAAACCAGCTAGGCCCCCTTCCTTTTTAAAATCAAACTTCTTGAAAGCGCTGCCTACACACAGAATCTTGATTTCCTCTCCTGACACCTTCCCCTTTCTAAGGTCACTCTTCACTAGGGTCACCCCTGAGTTTGCACGGACACTTTGCAGTCCTTATGCTGTTGACATCTCAGCAGCTGCCAACAAATTTACTTTTTTCTCCTAGAAACACTGTGGGTGTCCTCCTTACCTTTCCAGCACTTGCTTCTCTGTTGCATAAGGGAGGACTTTCCTTTGCTTGTTCCTTAAACCCCAGTGGTCTGAGATCCGGTGCCCTTTGCCCTTTGTGTATCGAGGTAGTCTTAATCTCTCTAGCTCAAATGAGCTCCATGTGCTGCTGAGTACCATATCTTCATTCCAGATCTTTATCTGAAGCTCCAGTCTAATCCACTGTCCACTGAAAAACTCCACTTGGGTATTTCACGGGTACCACAAACACAGTATGTTCTAAACGAACTCGTTTCTCTTCCAGTACCCCATTCAGTTAAATTTAAATGTAGTGAGTATTTATAGAATGCTTATTAGCATGTTTGCCAGACAGGAACTGTGTGCTGGGTATTGTGAATTAAGATGGTAAATATGGTCCCTACCTTCTCATAACAATTAAAATACAGTGTGATATTCACTAGGGGAAATACTGTCATCTGTTGAGGCACATAGAGGGTGTACCCAATTGCCCATGACAGAAACCTGACAGCCAACCTTAATTTCTCTTATTTCCTCACCAATCACATTTAATTGATTACTAAACCTTTCCAATCTACCTACTTTCTTTTTTTTTTTAAACATTTCATTATTTTTAAATTTTTTATTGTTTTTGTTAATCCTCACCCAAGGATATTTTTCCCATTTATTTTTAGACAGAGTGGAAGGGAGGGGGAAAGAGAGAGAGAGATCAATGTGAGAGAGACGCATCGATTGGTTGCCTCCTAGGATGGAGCCTGCAACCGTGGTACGTGCCCTTGATCTGAATCGAACCCTTCAGTCCGAGGGCTGACGCTCTAACCAATGAGAAAATTGGCCAGAGCTCTACGGACTTTTTTAAATCCCTACAACTACCACCCTCTTTAGCCTGGATGATATAACCTCCTAACTAGTTTCCATGCATATAGTTCTGCTCTCTTCCACTCCATTCCTAGCACAGCAGCCAGGGTGACTTGTCTAAAACACAAAAATTCCCTGCCACTCCCTTGACTTAACCTTTCAAAGGCTTCTCATTGTACTCAGAGTAAAGCCCACATTTTACAATCTGATTTACAAACACCTTTTCCCCTTTATCCTAGCCAGTGGTCGGCAAACTCATTAGTCAACAGAGCCAAATATCAACAGTACAACGATTGAAATTTCTTTTGAGAGCCAAATTTTTTAAACTTAAACTATATAGGTAGGTACATTGTTATTAACTTAATTAGGGTACTCCTAAGGCTTAAGAAGAGCCACACTCAAGGGGCCAAAGAGCCGCATGTGGCTCGCGAGCCGCAGTTTGCCGACCACGGTCTAGACTTTTCACACTCCCCATCACAAACTCCACACTCCAGCCACTCCACTCTTAAAGTGCAACTTTGCATATCTTCTTTCCTCTGCCCGAAACACTTCCTCTCTCACTCGCACCAATCTTCACCTGGCTAACTCTTACTCATCATTCATATCTCAGTCGAAAGGTCACACACAAGAAGAGCTCTTTTAACCCCTTAGAGTTAGGTAGGGGCCCTAACTAGTAGTTCCCACAGCAAGCTTTACATCCCCATCATAACTTTCATCACACTTTAAATATGATTTGATTAATCTAACTTCCCAGGAGGTCTTTGAGCTCTGCCAAACCAGAAGCCTGTATCTATTTTGTTAATAATTCTATCTTCAATGCCTTGTATAGTTCCTGGTACAAAGTAACCTCTCTGTCCCTCAGTTCCTCATCTGTAAAATGAGAATGAGAGCACCTATCTCATGATATGTTGGTTTGTTTGTATTTTGTTAAGTAGCAACCATTTTAATATAGCTCACAATTTTATGGGTCAAAAATTGGGGGAGGGCTTAGCCGGGTGATTCTTCTGCCCCACGTAGTATTCAACAGGCAGATGGGTTGATCTGGAGAGCTTCCCTCACATTTCTGAGACCACGACAGTCTCAGGGTAGTAAGACTTCTTACATGGCAGCTCAGGCTACCAGAGTGTTCTAAGAAGCATGAGCAGCCCTAGCCTGTTTGGCTCAGTGGATAGAGTGTGAACTGCAGACCGAGGGTCCCTGGTTTGATGCTGGGTTCCATGCCTGTCAAGGGCCTGTACTTCCATTGCAGGTCCTCCCCAGGGCAGGGCCTGGTTGGGGGGGGGGGGCGTGCAGGAGGCAACCAATGGATATTTTTCTGTCTTTCCCTCTTCCTTCCTCCCTGAAATCAATAAAAATATATATATTTAACAAAAATAACTAACTAAATAAATAAAAATAAAAACCAATGGAAAAATATTCTCGGGTGAGGGTTAAAAACAAAACAAAACAAACAAAAAGAAGCATGGGCAGAAGCTGTCTAGCTTCTTATGACCTAGCTTCAAAAGGCCCAAAACTACTATAGAATTTTTGAGGATGAAATTAATATATGTGAAGTGCTTAGAACAGTGCCTAGCTCATAAGTACTATTATTAATTATTCTTTTTAAAATATATTTTTTTATTGATTTCAGAGAAGAAGGGAGAGGGAGAGATAGAAACATCAATGATGAGAGAGAATCATTGATGGGCGGCCTCCTGCACGCCCCCTACTGGGAATCGAGCCCGCAGCCCCGGCATGTGCCCTTGACTGGAATCGAACCCGGGACCCTGATTCAGTCCGCCACTCTATCCACTGAGCCAAACCAGCTAGGGCTTTAAATTTTTTATTTTATTTTAATTTTAAAAAATATTTTTATTGATTGCGGAAGGGAAGAGAGAGAGATAGAAACATTAATGATGAGAGAGAATCACACTTGGGCTGCCTCCTGCACGATCCCAGGCCCCCAAATCTGGGTTGAGCCCGCAACCCAGGCATGTGCCCTGACCGGGAATCTAACCGTAACCTCCTGGTTCATTGGCTGACGCTCAACCACTGAGCCACACCAACGGGGCATGATTCCTTTCTCAATCACTTCATGTGCTTCCTTGTATAATACATACTTATTGCCAAACTCTTAGCCTTCTTACTTCCCCTCCCTCTGACCTTTCCCCAACACATGCTCCCTCCCAGTCACTTTAATGAGATTGTCCACTCTAGCTCTCTGTGAGCTGCAGACTGATATTAAATCAATACTTAATAGTTCAGTTCTTTTTTTATTAATAGGATGTCCACACTAATTTCCATTGTATCACTGAAGTCAGTTTACCGTAACTCTCAACCCTAATTGTGATGAACTTGGAGAGTCGGTCATGGTGAATAGACGCTGTCAAAAGAGTGCAACCAAAGGATAGGCGGTTTCCTTCCCCGCCCTCGCCGCGTTAGAGGATTAAAGAGCGCCGGCCCCGACGCGAAAACGCCGCCACCCAGAGCGTGCGGCTCTCGGCACGGCACCGCGGTCCCGCCCTCTCGGTGATCCTCTTTCCGGCTTCCTCGTGTTGCATGACGGGAGAAATAGTCTACTTCCCCCGGCGGTGCGCGGGAACGCCCTAATTCAGAACTCCATTTCCCGGCGTGCCTCTGGCTGATCTCTCCGCCCACAGCGAGAGGCCGGTTCCGCTTGCATCAGCGTGGGACCCGCGGCGAAATGAGACTGTTCGTGAGCGAGGGCGTCCCGGGGACGCTGCCCGTGCTGGCCGCGGCTGGGAGGGCGCAGGGCCGGGCGCAGCTGCTCATCAGCACCGTGGGCCCCGAAGGTAGTCGGGCTGGTGCTGGTGGGTGAGGGGGGCGGGCCGAAGCACGCCGGACTCCCGGTCCGAAGTCTCCTTCCCCAATCCCAACCCCTACCACTCATTCCCGTCTACCTCCTGCCCCGTTATCCTTCGTCACTCCATCCCCTCTTCCTTCCCTCCCGCCGACACACACAAGAGTCACTCGCATTACAACCCCCCCCGACACCTTTTTTGTTCCTAGGAAACCCTGCGCTCCTCTCCACACAGACACACTCACATGCGCTCGTTTTGGTTTACCTGTTTTCGTTCCCAGCCAGCTGTTTGGGTGACTCCTAAGCAGTTCTGTTGCCAGTCTTCCCAGTTCTGTTAATTGTGTTCTTCCACTGTTGTCTCGGGTCGTTCTCAGATAATCCCAGTTCTAATTGTTCCAGTTCTTGGCTGCGCGCTATCCCAGCACCACCACCTCCTCTCTGCAGTACCCATCTGTTGTTTCCAGCTGGCGGTCTCAGCTGAACACCTGCTGGTCTCCCCAGCGCATTCTGGACCCACCCCCTTTCAGTGGTCCCGTCTTAGAAGCTCTGGATTGAGACTGCCCATCTTTCCCCCTAAACAATGTGAAGTTGTCCTTCTAAGTTGACAAAGAATTTTGTTTTTTTCCTGTTTTTCATGCATTTTTCTCCCTCGCATCAGAGTGTGTGGTCCCATTCCTGACCCGGCCTAAGATCCCTGTCTTGCAGCTGGATAGTGGCAACTACCTCTTCTCCACGAATGCAATCTGCAGGTCAGTATTGGTACTTGATGCAGGGAGGTGACTAAATCACATCAGAGCTTACTGTCCTCTGTGTGGCCTTATACACAACCACTGTTTCACTGTGAGGTGAGAATGGGCCCCTCTAATTCCACCTTCTGTTGCTCTTTCTCTGGCAGATACTTCTTTCTGTTATCTGGCTCAGAGCAAGATGACCTCACCAACCAGTGGCTGGAATGGGAAGCAACAGAACTGCAGGTGGTACTGAGACATGGGGGCTGGCAGGCAGGCCCATTGCCCTGCATGGCCATCCTGACCTGTGTCCCCCCCACATTTTAGCCAGCTTTGTCTGCTGCCATGTACTATTTAGTGGTCCAAGGCAAGAAGGGGGAAGATGTTCTTGGCCCCATCCGGAGAGCCCTGACTCACATTGACCACAGCTTGAGTCGTCGGAGCTGTCCTTTCCTGGCTGGGGTAAGTTGGGTCTTGAGGTGGGGATTGAGGAAGCTGTGTGGTAAAAGAATTAAGAAGGAAGACAGTATTCATAGTGTTCAAACCCCAACACTACCACCTTCTAGCAGTGTAACCTTGAAAAAAATTAAACTTGCTAATTTTTTTTTTCATCTTTGAAATGGGTAATATTGGTACCCACCTCATTGGGTTGTTGTGAGGATTAAGTGAGATAATTTTAAATGCTTAACATAGTGCTCGACGTGTAGTAAGTGCTTAGGAGATGTTAGATATTTTCACTACTTTTGAGAAGAAAATGAATATCTCACCTGTGTACCTTTTTCTTTTCTTTCCCCAACAAAGGAGACAGAATCTGTAGCTGACATTGTTTTGTGGGGAGCCCTGTATCCATTGCTCCAAGACCCAGCCTACCTCCCTGGTGAGCACTGAGCATATCACTTTATTCCCAGCCCCAACCGCAGAAACTTGGTGTAGGGGTTACAGAATGGTCCGTATATTGTATGTAGGTACCCACTATGAGGTGTAACTTGACATGGAAGCTATAGCAGAAAGATGGTAAAGGGAATGGGAAAGCAACTGGAAAAATTTCACAAAGAGGGGAAAGAGGCCCACTCATCCAGCCTTTCCTGGTCTTGCTGATTCCCTCTTTTCTCCCAAATCCGCAGAAGAGCTGGGTGCACTGCACAGCTGGTTCCAGACACTGAGTTCTCAGGAGCCATGCCAGCGAGCTGCAGAGACTGTGTTGAAGAAGCAGGGTATCCTGGCCCTCCGGCCCTACCTCCAAAAGCAGCTCCAGCCCAGCTTCCTTGAAGGGAGGGCTGTCAGCAATGAGCCTGAGGTTTGGGAAAGAACAGAGGGGTCCCCGGAGAGCCTTGGTGCCTAAAGGGTGGGGTGGTTTGGAGAGGGACTTGGAGCATGGACACTGCCTTCTACTGTTGTTGGGAGAGTTTCTTTATTCCATGGGCCCTCCTCACCTGGTGAGGGATTCTGTCCACCCTTCATAGGAGGAGGAGCTGGCCACCCTGTCTGAGGAGGAGATCGCCATGGCTGTCACTGCTTGGGAGAAGGGCCTGGGCAGCTTGCCTCCCCTTCGGCCAAAGCAGAAACCAGTGTGAGTAGGCACAGATGAGTGGGCTTGGTTTCTTCAGTGGAAGTTGTTGATAAAATCAACACCTGCCTGCCAGGTCCCCTCTGCTGCTGACATCTTTAATTTTCCATCCTTTCCTTTTTATTCTCAGATCCCTATCTCTCTTTTTATTTTTTTATTGTTGACACTATCTTTTTAAAAAGTGTTATTCTCTCTTGGTTTATAATTTTGGACACTCTCCATCAGTCCCAGCTGCACCCGTGTTTCAGTTATTCTTTACCTACAGATACCACCTAAATCTGTTTTTCCCAGTCCAGATCTCTACTCTGAGCTCAACATATTTGTCAGACTGAATCCTCCACCTCCACAGGCATTGCAAACTCAGCATGTGCAAAAGCAAGCCAGCTATCTTCCCTGTCAGCTTCTCTCCTTTACTCATGTACTTTAGCGATTGACACCCCCCGCCTCCACTTAAAAATCTAAGCCAGACATTTTGGTGTTATCTGTACTCTTTTCTCATCCCCTCCTCCTGTATCACTTATTCCATCACCAAGTCATTGATTCTAACTCCTAAGTAGTCCTTGAATCAATCCCTTCTCTCTCTCCTCACAGCTGCTCCCTTACATCAGGCCTCACCATCTCTCACATTCTCCCTGCCTCACCATACTTCACACTGTCACCAGAATGAGTACTTAAAACTGCACGTATTATCTCACCCTCCTTTTTTGAATTCTGCAAATGGTTCCTTGTGTAGTTCACAAGACCATTCAAGATCTGGCCCCTGCCTGAGGCTTCATATTTTGTCACTGTCCTACTACACTGAGATAATATACACGCACATACACAGCTTTTTCCATCAAAATGAAATATTTGTAGTCTCAAACTTGTCATCCAATAAAGATTTGAGTGTCTACTCCTTGCTAGGCCCTATGTGCTGGATCTACAGGAGGGAGCAAGACAGATAAGACTTCTGCTCTCATGGAACTTTGAGTCTAGAAAAGTAGATAGGTATTTTAAAAACTCATACAAATGTATAATCACACATTTTAATAAGTCCTATGAAGGGAAAGAACAGGATGCCAGGAGAATAAATATCACAGGAGATTAACCTATAGGCCTCTCTGAAAAATTGACATTTGATCTGAGACTTGCAAGATGAGTAGGAATTAGGCAGGGGTAAGGCTATAGGGAAGGGTGTCTTAGGAAGAGGGAACATGTGCAAGATGGCCTTAGAAGCAAGAGAGTTTGGTTCTTTTTAAGGAATTGCTAAAAGGCCAGTGGCTGAAGGCTAGACAGTCAAGGGGCAGATAGATCAAGATGCGTTTTGAGAGGAAGGCAGTCCGACATCATACTGTACTCACCTTGGTGTCAATGCACATGCTGTTCCTTCTCCCTGGAATGTCTGTATCCTGCCTAACGGGCGTACACTCATTCCTTGAGAGCCTAATTTTACCATTTCCTTCTCTACAGAGCTTGAGTGCTTCATTTTCGGGAAACTCCCATTGTCCAAATATATTGTAATTATCTCTTTTCATGACTATGTCCTCTATCTGTCAGCTTATTGAAGGTAGAGGCTCTCTCTGTATGTTTATGTGTCCCAGTTTCCAGTAGATACTGATAAAACTTGAATCAATTGATGAAGAAAGTCCATCCATTGTTCATTTGCTCATTTTGAGTAGTTCTTCAGTACCTACTATGGACAGTTTAGTACTAAGCCCTTTGGAGGTAATAAAGAATAGGAGATAGACTTTCTCAGATGTTTATACAGGCTAACACGTTTAAATGCATATGTAGAGGAGGAGACAATTGGTATTAAAGACCATATTACCGCCCTGGCCTGCATGGCTCAGTAGTTAGAGCATCTGCCTGCTCACCAGAGGGTCTCCAGTTCGATTCCTCATCAAGGGCACATACCTAGGTTGCAGGTCCAGTCCCCACCCCAGTCAGGATGTGTGCGGCAGGCAACCAGTCGATGTGTCTCTCTTACCTTGATGTTTCTCTCTCTCTTTCTTTTTCTCTCCTCCCTTCTACTCTCTAGAAAGCAATGGCAAAAATATCCTCACTCCTTGGGTGAGAATTTTTTAAAAAAAAGACCCTATAGCCAAACCAAACTCTTTGCCTTTCCTTCTGACTGAAAGACATCCCTAGTGCCTTGATCAGGCAAATTCCTACCCATTCTTGAGGCCCAACTCAAGTATTCTGCCTCTGTGAAGTCTCTCTCTCTCTCTTTTTTAAAAATATATTTTTATTGATTTCAGGGAGAGGGAGTGAGAGAAATATCAATGATGAGAGGGAATTGTTGATTGGCTGCCTCCTGCACGCCTCCTACCAGGGATTGAGCTCGCAACCTGAGCATGTGCCCTCACTGGGAATTAAGCCGTGACCTCCTAGTTCATGGGTTGACAATCAACCACTGAGCCACACCGGCCAGGCTGAGAAGTCTCTTAATCTTAGGCTGGAGTGTATGCTTGCCTTCCTTGGAGCTCTTTTGATACTTTGTACCTCTCATTGCATTGATTCCAGTTGCAGATATGTAATAGCCTGTAACCCCCTAGAGCAGTGGTTCTCAACCTTCTGGCCCTTTAAATACAGTTCCTCATGTGACCCAACCATAAAATTACTTTTGTTGCTACTTCATAACTGTAATGTTGCTACTGTTATGAATCGTAATGTAAATATCTGATATGCAGGATGGTCTTAGGTGACCCCTGTGAAAGGGTCATTTGACTGCCAAAGGGGTCGCGACCCACAGGTTGAGAACCGCTGCCCTAGAAGGTAGAACCCCATACATACCTTTCTATCTGCCACCAAGTTACACGGTAACACAAAAGACAATAGTGTGCTACTAAGTGCCTAGGGGCTTGGGACACAGAGGTGACTGGATGGAAGGCCAGTCATTAATGAAGGAAGGCTTCCCTGAAGGAACTGATTTCAAAACTGGATTTCAGTGTCCAGTGATTATAGATTGAGAATGGTCAGAAAGACAGAAAGTCCCTGATGAGGTGTCAGTGCTGAGAAGGGGGATGGATACATGATGTGCACAGCTGAGCTGTCAAGGATGAACCCTAAAAAGAGAACAGTGGATTGAGTGGCTTCAGACAGCAGCTTGAGTGATGTGACTAGGAATGATCCTGGAGAAGTGGGGAGGAGAGGGTGGTTATGAATGCTGGCTCGAGTCAGGCCGTGAGGAAGTGACCAACATGGGTTAGGGAGAGGAGTCGGGGGCGAAGTGGGTTGTAAGGATTTCAGGTAGAGACGAGAGGTAATATTAACATAGCATCTGGGAAGAAGGAAAGCGGTCGGCACTGGGAAAATTCTTGGTAGGCTTTGGAGTTAGGAGTGGTGAGTGATGGTGACGGGACAAAGCCTCAGG